ATTGTCGCCGCTATTCTTGTCCGTCTCACGTTCCTGATTTGTTCGCTGCCGGAGCAACCCACGTCTTGGCACCAACCAATCAAAACGCGCCATTCACCGATTGGCTGCAGATGACGCAGAGCACAAAACGACATTCGCTGGGGTCTAAAGGTCTCAACGGCGAACAAAAACACACAGTTATCTGAAGTGAGAGCTAGTGAAGCAAACTTCCAAAGCCCCCTGTACGCTATTTCCCACAGTGACAGCTAATCCCATCTAAGCTGTCTTCTGATTTGAGAGCCTCCATGTTGTCGACCAGTAGGAAATTGCGTCAACGTCTTATCCTACTCTGACAAGCCAAGCAAGCTCTCTGAAAATTTAGCGAGCTTTTTCTCCCTCTATGTCCGCTATGTCAGTGACCAAGTTCACATTAGTAGCGGTTGTGAGTATGCTTCATGTAGCCTGTCTCGATGATAGCTTTTCCTATATAATCTCAACTGCTCTATCCTTGAGTTGGCAGACAGTATGCCCAACGCGCGCCTTTTCCTGGTCAGTTATGCGAGACAAAATAATCCAGTATTTGCCGTATTTATGGAGAAACTGGCAGATTTAGCGATCTCGTTCCCCGAGACACTGCTGCTGTCTTTTGCGGGACGATATGTTCAGCTTGGCCGAGGCCAGTCAACCGATGTGAATTCGACTCCATAAAACCGTAGTGGACCCTCCAATCCCTTCCGCATGGATGCCGTCCCACCGTGAAACTTGTTGCACAGCCCTAGTATTGAATCAGATATTTGTTTACAAGGAGGGAGGATATCGAAAATACAGTCATTAAAGATAGGTGGGGGAATGATGTCGAGGGGAAAGTAACGGCTCAGTCATTGAAGTTCCGATGTGACCCAAAATTCTCAAGGCAACCCCGGGTACCACTGTGTCAGACCCGGTTATTGCAGCGGCCCTCATTTGTGCTGGTAACAGTTCCAGAGCATTGATTTATGGTCGCTGTATGACCCATGCGCGTGTAGGCTCTGGTTCCAAGAAAAAACGGAAATGCGTATTTGCATCCTGTAGTCGGCTAACTCTGCAGGCACGTGACCTTAATGTTGAGCTCTGCTCTTTGTCCCTCGCGTTCATAAGGCACTAATTCACAATCCCGATCCGCCTTCTTATACAAGCCAATAACTAGGCTAAATTAATTGACGATTAGTAAGCAGACACAATCCAAGGGAAATAACGCTAGATAAGAGCAAGAAAAGTTTTGAACAACACAGGTCGCCTTAGTCATGCAAGATATCCAGAAAAAGCAGTTTAAGTAGGGCAGGGCAAATTCGAAGGAACATCGATAAATAGTATTTGGCGCCCATCCTACATGAGTACGGCTAAATAATCTGCATTTAGGAGAACTCAGGTACGAAGACGATCTGTGTTCTGATTGGTCTACTTGCAGGTGTTGGGTTGTCGGCTAACATAGCGTGATAGCTATTACGTTCTGCTCGTCTCTGGTGAAGAAGCTGCGACGGATATCGAAAAGTCAGGCGAATAAGTGTTGCCCCAGTGATCGAACCGTCTTCTTCTAAATGCTATGAGTTATTTTTTCCGGATAGCAATTATGGGTTAACTGGTCAGAACGGGAGTCAAGCCTAATCGCGTCACTGTTGATTGACAAGCTCCGCATAACTTGTAGATCTTGGCTTAATTCTCCTACATTCACTTATAAAAACCCACCAACAGGTTCAAATCATGTTTCGAATCTTCAGGTGAAAGGATTTTGATGTTTCCTTCGAAGCTCGCACAGTCACTGAAAATACGCCGGCACCTGGATGACACCCCACTCTTACACCAGACAGTCTCTGCTGACTAGTCCTTAGCTGTAGGTAAACGGACATTTGTGAATTGTTTGATCACACAAGCCAGTTTTCCTGATTGAGACGATCACACACTACAACTAACTGGCTCGGTAACCGATTTTTGTCATCGCGTTCAAATTAAACGCGAGATGATTACACTCCCCTTCAACTCACGCAAATCGTTTGTTGTCAAAAGCAATCTGCGTTGGCCAAAATTAACCCATGGTTTGCAAAAAATGTTAGCAGATTGCATTCTGAGATCAGCAGCATCCTTACGAAGATCGAGAAGGATTGTAGGCAGGACAATAGAGACTAGTATAGCCATTCCTGGTGCACTAGCAATAATGACTAATCAGAATACATGTACTCGGTACGGCTGCGATAATGCTTGATTTAGCCGACCCCAATTATGCGACGGATTGTACCCCTCCACGCGTGACGATCCGCAGCAGCAGATCTGGACAGTTCTCTTCGCCAGCGACGGAGACCGAAAGTCCAAGAATCACTGAATTGAGTTGACCAACTGTGTGGAGCTAGACATCGAGGACTTCTGCTTCAGAAGGAGGTCCCGTATGACCAGTCATACCCATATCTTATGTTGGGAAGACACGAGACTTCGAAGTGCTTACAGTTGTGCACTGAAGTCAACACTCCGAGAGTTGAACCTCGGACCCACACACTGTCAGCAGGGGTCAGAAGCTACTTCGGGAACGGCGGTTAGTGATATGACCTAAACTTAGGACATATGGACACACAGTCATTTACAGAGATGCTGCCGCTTGCTCCACCAGCGTGGTCTCATCATTCGTCAGATCAGCTAAACTGAGGGGCTCGGTGCACTGCCACCCTTCGGGGGAAAATGACTTTTGCCAAGAAAACCGGTAAGGCCGACAGAGGAATGAAACACACAGAGAGGGGTGGTCGACAGACTAATAAAA